CCTTTTCCAAAAAATTTGAATATCATGGAAAAGTTGTTTAACTTCCATAATTCCATTCAAAAGGTTAATCTTTAATAGATGATTGATTCAGGGCCCACAATTTAAACGATTTCAAGTATTTATTTGTTTATTTTTACATAGTTTGGGCTTCCAGCTCATGAAACCCACAAAAACAGGATTTAAAAAAAAATTGAATACTGTGGAGAAATCAGCCCAAATGTTGCAGGGCATGAATGTTTTAAACTGAGCGTGACACATTAATCATCTACTAAACTCAAAGCACCTGCACAGGTTTCCCCAGGTGTCATTATATTGCTTCAGTTTGGTTCATTTGTCTCAGTTCGGTTCAATATGGGGAAGACTGCAGACATAACTGGCCAGAAGACCATCATTGATGCCCTCCATAGGATGGGTAAGCCACAAAAGTTCAAAGCTACGGATGCTGGCTGTTCACCGAGTGCTGTGTCCAAGCATATCAATGGAAAGTCTAGTGGAAGGCAAAATGTGGCAGGAGAAGATGCACCAGCAAAAGAGATGACCGTGGGCTTTAGCGGATTATCAAACAGAGAAGATTCCAGAATCTGGCAGAGATCCAGAAATAGTGGAATGAGGCGGGAGTCACAGCTTCAAAAACCACCACATTCAGACGCATTCAAGAGATGGGCTACAACAATCGAGTTCCTTGGTCCTCTTTTCCGATGAAAGTAAGGTGTGCCTTTCATTCAGAAATCAAGGTCCAAGGGTTTGGAGGAAGAAGGGTGAGGAACAGAACCCATACTGCTTGAGATCCAGTGTGAAATATCCACAGTCAGTCATGATTTGGGGTGCAATGTCCGGTGCAGGTGTTGGTAAACTCTGCTTTCTTAAATCCAAGGTCACCGCAACAGTCTACCAGAATGTTTTAGAGGACTTCATAATTCCTTCTGCTGATCTGTATGGAGATGCAGATTTCATCTTCCAGCAGGACCTGGCCCCTGCCCATGCCGCCAGAAGCACCAAAACCTGGTTTGATGCCCATACCACAGTGCTTGACTGGCCAGCCAACTCGCTGAATCTATGAGGTATTCTCAAGAGGAAAATGAGGGGCACCAGACCCAACAACAAAGAGCTGACAGCAAGCGTCAAGGAAATCTGGGCTTCCCTAACTCCCAGGCAATGCCACAGGCTGATTGCCTCAATGCCACATTGCAACGAGGCAGTGATAAAGGCAAAGGGATTTTGAAAGTACCATATTTTGATTGATGTGTAGTGATCCTAATTCCTTTATTTTTTTCCTGCAAAAACTGAAGTAATGTGGGCTGATGTCTTCACATTATTCTAATTTTTTGAATTCCTGTTTTCATGGGTTTCATGAGCTGGAAGCCCAAATTATGTAAAAATAAACAAATAAATACTTGAAATTGTTTAAATTGTGGGCCCTGAATCTATCATCTATTAAAGATTAATTTTTTGAATGGAATTATGGAAGTTAAACAACTTTTTCATGATATTCAATTTTTTTGGAAAGGGTATATATATATATACTTGTGTGTGTGTATATATGTGTGTGTGTATATATATATATATAATTTTTGTATTTGCTCTCGTGCAATGCGGACACTTCCTCTCCCTCTCTTGTTCTCCTCCTGCTTTTTTCCTGCTCTGTGTATTGGAGCTCCTGTTCCACGTCTTCCGAAACTAAAACTACTGTGTGGGTCTGGGCAGCTGGAATTTTCAGTGCAATCGACAAAATATTTTCAACAAAGCGACAGGGTCCTGGAGAGCCCTTATGCCCTGCTGAGACTCACGCGGCAGGATATGTCATGGATGGAAGCTGATGTGTCTTTCCGTTCTGTCTCAGGAGGACGCCGAAGACATTATATAACTGGATTTATGATATCAGGGTGTCTGAGCTCTGGCATCGGTGGATTCCTGTGTTATCGACTATTAAGGAAGACGGCAGCAGCAGTGTCGGCAATGGCAAAATTGCCAAGTCTGTATGAAGGTTTGGTTCGTGCTTCGAGTACTCAAAATCAGCTGATTTAGGACATAAACCATAAGATGGAAGCAATTTGTGAGAATTGCAGGCCACCTGTGGCTTCTGGGACTCACCAGCATGTTGGAGACGACCTTGGAGGAGCCTTGTAGGCATAGACCAGTGGAATGCTCACTAATCTGGCCATTTTGGATCTTGAAAGTACCAGCAGAACTCAAGGCTGACAAGAAAAAAAACAGTCTGCCTGAAAAAAATCTACAATTGTGGCTTTTCTGAATCTGACTCACCCGGTTGTCTTCGAAAACAGGCTGACTGATCAAATTTCTCCTGGGCTATGTAAAAAGTAAGGAAAAGCTTTGTCTATTGCACCCCCCCCCCCCCCCCACCCCTGAGAACTTCTGTCTGTGAAGGATTATCAGAACTGTGCTGGCTGACCAACATCTTATCAGGACTATGGTTTATCTGGAAGTGCTTCATGGATGAATCTCACTGCCTTACTGTCAAATTGTCAAATGCATATGTAAGGTGTTTATAAATGTGCTTGCTGGTAGAGTGTTTCTTGATGTCTTAAATCGTGTCCTGATGTAATAAGGTGTGAAGAGATCTTTCTTATTTGTAATACCACTATCCTATTCTCATGGATTTTTCCCCTTTTCTATTTAAAAAAGTATTCTGAAAAAGGATAAGGGGCCACGCTCCAGTAGCAGCAACAATGTGCACTTCGCCTATCTTTTGGACAACTGTATGAACATAATCTCATTGTATTTCGGTACAATGATAATAAAGTTTATTCTGATTCTGATGAATAAGAGGCAGAAGATTTTGCTTGCTTAAGAAAATCAAAAGCAGGTTTATTGGAATTCAGATAACTTTTTTGTATTTTAAAGAAATATTACATAAAATAAAGAAAATAGTTAAAAAAAAATACCCATGTGCATGAAACCAAAAGTATCACATACATCAAAACTTTAAAAGTTGCTCTACACACATCCTGTACTAAAAACATCCAACTATAAAAACTAAGTTAGAGGCTGACATGACAGTCTGAAAAATAATTGTCTAAAGATTGCCCCGTTTCACTATGACAGCTGAGTTTGGTGCGATGCTCAAGCACACAGTTTCGAGGTCCAATCTGTTCTGCTCGGTGACCTTCCTTTTGTTCAGACAAACAATTTCACCTTCTAGACGACTCAGCAGATGTCTTCTCACCGTCTGTGACAGCAGACAGAGTGATGGGTTCACACAGCAGTGGGAGAAGGCAAGTATTCGACAAATATTGTAGGTGGTTTCTAACAGTTCCACCGCCTTACAGCCTTTGGGTTCATACAAAAACTTGATAAAAAGTAAAAAATTGTAGGGTCCCCAACAGATGAAGTAGGCTGAAATAGTACAGAACACTATACCTATAGCTTTGTGCCTTTGTCTGCTTGTAGACTGGAAAACAGTCATGATAATGGCAAAAAGGCAGAAAATGATGATAATTAATGGGAGTAAAAACAGCAGTGAAACTTGAAAATAGTATCCCAAGTCGACATCATAATTGGCTTCACAGTAGTAGTCTTCCTCCACCTGTATTTTACTGGTATCATACACAGATGCAGCAATGCTGATGATCCAAGCAGCTACAGAAGCACCAACTGCACACCGTTTCCTCAGGTTGTTGTTCCACCACTTGTTCAGCACCACGGCAATGAAACGATCCACAGTCAAGGCGGTGAGTATAAAGATGCTGCTGTACAGACCAACAAAGTGCACCATCGTTATGAATTTGCACATAAAGTCCCCAAAGATCCAGTGGTGGAGGTGGTAGTAAGACCAGAATGGGAGTGAAGCCGTGAAGATCAAATCAGAGCACGCCAGGTTCAGTATGTGGGTTTTAATGACAGAATTGAGGTCTTTTTGGGTATGAAGAGCAAATATTAGCAGGATATTTCCTATGACACTGATGATAGTGATCAAGATGAAGATATATCCATTGATGGTTGAAAAATCAAAAGAATTACAAATGATTATATTTCCATCACCGTCGTCTCCTCCATCGTCGGTCAGATTGTTCTTGTACTCCATTGCAGATTATCTGTAAAACATTGGCACAAAACTGAAGTTTGTCAACAAAACTTTATTAACTTGAAGTTGTTTAAATAGTTAAGGCCTTTTTGTTTTCTAAAACAAGTATAAAACGTCAAACCGATCTCAAAAAACAAACTCACCACCGCAAACATCAGCTGCAAATCTTGTGCGGAAATGTTCTTTACAGACGAAGTTGTGACAGATGAAGTGGTTGAAGTTTCATTTACTGTTTTAGATTGAGTCACAAGCTGCCTTCTTGGGAACTGATGGTGAAATTTCACATGATTTGTTTTCAAAAGTTAACTGAACATAGATATTTTATGCTGTTTCTTGTATATTCTCAGGATGGTTTTTTTTTTATTGTCATTTAATCAAAAACGGACACAATTAACTTTAATTAAATTTTTACAACATAAAAACATAGACAAACAGCTGAGAGCAGCCGATAAACATGTTTCCAGACAACTACAACATACATGTACCTTAGAAATCCTATAACTTGATCAAAAACCTTCGATAATGACAAACTTTAAATTGGACAAGATTTTGATTGTGCTCTTTGCTGCTCAGGTTCTCACTAAAGTTAAACACTGAAATGAAAAAGTCTAGATGTGAAGATTTCAGTTCCTGTTCTGCATGCCTGTGTCCATTAATCCTATTCTCTGCAGCTCCGGAGTGACAGGTGCAGCTCATCACATGCAGCTGACACTGATGGACTGATGAGCTCTTCCAACAAAAAAGCACAAGTCTCACCAGAACCTAACACTGGAGCACGTGAAGAAATGGAAGAAAGGCTGTTAGCACTAAGAAGAGACCAAATAGCAATAAATTATTGGATTAATCTTAACTGACGGTACCAATTTTATGGATACCAGCACAAATAGGGTGAGAGGGAATGAAGCAGCAGACAGGAAAACAAAAACTGCAACAAAGGATCAAATAAACTTTGTAATATTAGTAAATCAGAAGCTATGTTAAACAAAAACTGAAGGGGAAATGGCAAAAACAATGCAAAGAAGACAGCAAAGGAAGATGGTTTTACATAATTCAGAGATGAGTGGGAGAAACTGTGGAGGAACAGAAGAGAAGAAAGATTAATAACCAGACTAAGATTTACACTCACTGGACTTAACGGCACATTATACAGAGTCCAAGAATGTAATACAAGTCGGCGTGATCACTGTGAATAAGAGTAAATCATAAAATATGTCATATCAGAATGTCAGAGATATGAATAACGATGCACGACTCCTTACCCACAATGCCTCAGCTCTGCATTCCTGTAGCAGAAAGTTGGTTCCCTTTTGATTAATTCAGCCTGCAGCCCCTGTGGGTTTTTATTTTCTTTTTTTTGTTTGTTTTTGTTTTTATTTTTTAATCCAATCTTGGACTAACTTGTGAAACACTCCCATGTTTTTTCAGCTATGTGAACCCTTACCAACTGTTCCTCGAGGCTCGAGCCAGCTCATCATTAGTTCATGTTACCTGTGTCACCCCATAATAGAGTTGCAATCGGGTCCAAAAAATCAGACCCAGCCCTTAGACATAATTTCCGAACCCCAACTGATCCAACGAATCAACAGTAATTATAGGTCCAAACTCAACACCAGCTCCCCCTTCCCCCAACACCCCCAATCAAGCTTACCACCGACCATTATTAACAGTTGGCGGACGCGTGCAGCTGAGTACAGGGGGGCAGAATATCGGAGCAGAGGAGCCATCAAAGCGCATTAAATGCTTCCCCTGCTTCTGCCTGCATCCTGCTTTGACATGTCAGATATTTTGTTCATTTTTCACAGATTGTATCCAGGAGAAGTCATTCCATGCTTATATTGACTTCCCAAAATTCACAAAATAGGAACACCACTCAGACCCATAGCATAAACTCTGTGACTTGTATCCTGATGCATGCTCAATAATCCAGGTAGAAAAATCCAAAAAAGTTCAATCTGGTCCTCTGGACATTGAAAAAAAAGAAAAAACAAAACAAAGCAAAAAAATATAGAAACGGATATAATTCATAACGGGATATGATAATATTGCAAAACATTGTTTTGGTGTTTTAGCTCCTCTTGCAGAAAACACCACATCATATAGAGAACTCCATGGATTTTGCAAACAAAGTCTGAAGAAGGCGCCAGGATAAACTCTTGCATCTTTTGATGTCACTTTACTTTTCACATGTATAGCCACATCAGAGGCAGTAGAAACTGACAGGAAAAATCTTCAACAAGATATTGACCTTAGCAACAGGACCAATTTCATCCAGAGCCTGATCTGTACTCTGCTGGATTTTGTCATTCCACATCTTGTTTCAAGTTCAATGACAGCTTTTACAGACAGAAGCATGATTGTGCCGTGGGATCTCCAGTGTCACCAATTGTGACCAATCATGGAGCAAATGGAAGAGGGAGCCCCGGACTCCTTCAAGGGAACAACACCGAGCCACTGGTTCAGATATGTGGACGACACTTGCATCAAAATCCATGTAAAGGAAGTAGAAGAGTTCAGCAGACATATCAACTCTGTGGACAACAACAACAACAGAGAGGATGCAAGCAACAACAAGCTGCCTTTTCTGGACTGTTTGGTGAACAGATGGAAGTCTCAACATTGAAGTTTACAGGAAACCTATGGTATTTACACAAATCAGCATGGTCTGTTTGATTTTCACCACCCACTGGAACACAAACTTTCTGTCATTAGAACTTTACACCACCGGGCCGAACATGTCCCCACAAAGACAGAAGGGAAGGAACAGGAACTTCAAAGAAGCTCACCAAACCTGCGGACATCCTAAAAGGGCCTTTGTAAAATCAGCAAAGATATCCAAAAAAAAAAAACACACAGCAGAACAGATACACAGAACACATATTGTCATCCCATTTGTTGCAGGAGTATCTGAAAAACTCAGAAGGATTTTTTCCAAATACAACATCCCAGTACATTTTAAACCCAAAAGGACCCTCAGACCGAGGCTGGTCCATCCCAAGGACAGAACCCCCAAACCCAAACTGAGTGGTGCAATTTATGCAGTGAGGAATGTTCAGATGAGAGAAACTAAATGTAGACGCATGTCTCAACACCAGAACTAGCTCTTCAGGACAAGACTCAGCAGTCCACCTACACCTCAATGATAAGATACACTCTTTTGAGGACCAAAATGTTCATGTTTTAGACAGAGAAGACAGATGGTTTGAACGAGGAAAAAAAAATAAACAGAGGAGGAGGTCTCAGATTTCAACTTTCAAAAACTTACAATGCAACTTTAGGCCAAACTCGTCCAGATGACATAATTTAATTTTTTTTTTTTTTTTTTATCTACCTGGATGATTGATCTTATAAACCTTATTCCAAGTCAGCTCCGCCCCAGTTTACACCTTCATGCATGTGACCAAAACATTTCTCTTGTAAACCAGGCAGACAGAGACTCACAAGCTTCTATTATGAGGGGCAAGTAGTTCCAGTCTAATCTGCATGTGAATTCATACACAATAAGGCCCTCATGCAGTTCTATAAAGCTGTCAACTCCACACACGCCTGACATTTTTGAATTGATAAAGCCTCCTGGATGGGAAGTGAAATGTCTTCAGCTTCAGTGTAGAAGTCCATTTGTTTTGGTGTTGTTGGTTTCTTTTACCTGTTTTTTGGATGTTTCACGACCTGGGTGACTAAATATATTAACCAGCATATGTGCAAGGTCTTGTTAGTTGTATAGGTTATGACTTTGTGTGTACCATTTTAAAGCACAAACTTGCCAACAGGCTGCTGTAGATTCTGTCATCCAGGACGTGGTAAAAATAAATAAATTAAGCCACTGGGCTTATGTTTTATAGTTGAACACTTTATGCATAACCCCCCACCCCCCCAAAAAAAAACTTTCTCCAAAAGAAAATAAACGGTGTGGAGTTCCAAGCTTTTAATGCATGAAGCTACTCGCATGCCAAGTAAACTCACTGCCTTTACAGTAGAGAGTAGTTGATGTCTTTCTCAGCCTAACTCACAAAAGAAGAAACCAAGGAGATGATTGTGGACTTCAGAAAGAACAAACACCCCTACACCCCCCTGAACATAAGAGGATCTGCAGTGGAAGTGGTCTCCAGCTACAAGTACTTGGGTGTACATCTGACTGACAACCTCAGCAGGAGCAACAACATCACCAGCCTGATCAAGAAAGCTCATCAGAGACTCTAATTCCTCAGGCGGCTAAGACGAGCTGGTCTGGGAAGCTCAGTCCTCACCTCCTTCTACAGGTGTGCAGTGGAGAGCATCCTGTGCTCCAGCATCAACATGTGGCATGGAGGCTGCACAGCTGCAGAAAGAAAAGCATTGCAGAGAGTGGTGAAGGCTGCACAGAAGTCTGTTGGAGTCAGTCTCCCCACCATCACAGACATCTACACCTCCAGATGCAGGAAGAGGGGCCACCTGCATCATGAAGGACCCCACTCACCCAGTACACACACTTTTTGCCCCTCTCCCCTCAGGAAGGAGGTTAAGGAGCATTAAGTGTAGAACCACTAGACTGAGGAACAGCTTCTACCCTGTGGCTGTTAGACTCATGAATCTCTAACCAGAATAATCACTGTGAAAAATCACATCATGTTGCTGTTGTAGTTGAATTAACATTGTAGATGAATATACATATATAAGTTGCTTTCATGTATTCAGTTCACTTACTTGGAGATCGCAGGTGCAGCAACTTTCTAATCTGCCTTAAACTGAAGGACAAAAGTACAATCTAAATGCTTTTCTTTCTAAGGACAAACTGAAAAATGAAAATTCCATTAAAAGTGTTCAAGGATTTCATTTTTTTTATTTCACTTGTTGATGTGGTTTCATTTCTTTTACTGAATTAACTACATGGAAAACTCCTCCCCGCTCATTTGAGATGTAATTGTGAGTCGGCTTTGTCTGCTGCGGATGTTGCTGCTGTTGTTGTGACCACAGCTCCTCAGCATTTTCTTCAAATGCGTTTTGAATTTTACACCCATAAACACGTAAAACACCGGGTTGAGGCAGCAGTGGGAGAAGGCGAGGAGTCGGCTGATGTAGAAGGCATAATTCAAATCGGTTTTAGTTTTGCAGAGTTCTGACATCAATGATGAATTCAAAGTGTGTTGGGACTCCAAAGGCAATGACTTGAGAAATATCACTAAGTTGTACGGTCCCCACCCTACAAAGAAAACAATCATGAGAGTGAAAATGAGTTTGACAGTTTTGTTTCTTCTCCTTTGGGCCGGAGGTAGCAGCAATCTGCACAGGATCTGAAAGTAGCAAAAACCAAAAACCGCTGAGGTCATGACGAAAAGGATGTTTTGCTGGTAGGTTCCCCACAAATTTCCAATGGAGCTGTCAAACACACAATGATCTGATGTCTCTGATTTCTTTACTTTAATAAAGAAGAAGACTGGACTGCCTGCCAGGATGCTAGCAACCCAAATGAACACAGTAGCTATGATGCTGGATAGACCTGAGGCGGACACTATGTCAGAGAGAGGACTCATCACAGCTACATAGCGATGAATAGTCATGAGGATGAGGAGGAACCCACTGCTGTAGAAGCCAACATAGAAAATAAAGTTAACTATTACACACAGAGGCTCTCCAAACTTCCATTCAGAGACATGGTGGTAGTAGGCCCAAAAGGGCAAACCTGAGGTGAAGAAGAGATCAGATACAGCCAGGTTCAGGATGAAAGTGTTGGTGAGGGATTTCAGATTCTCATACTTGAAGAGAATGACGAGAACTAGGATGTTTCCAAACAGGCTGAAGATCATCACAGTGGAGAAAAACAAGGGAGTAAATGTCGCTCCAAATTTAATGGCATTTGTTTGGTTGCACCCGTCACTTTCGTAGTCATCGTCATAGATCTCTGAGGTCCAATAATCTGTGTAGCTTTCAGTTGTGGCCATTTTCCTCCAGCAAGAACAGAGTCTATATATGATAAAAACAAAATATTTATAGAAAGTATAATTAAAAGCGACAAATTTGATTATTTTAATGAGTTCATACTTCAATAAATGTGAATACCTTGTATAATATTTTGCTGAGTCATGAATATAATTTTTGTCAAATTTATTATATGTTTATTTACCACATTTATTTTCTTTTTTTGACAAGATTAAAGGATACAGAACTGTTACGAAAATGTTTTTAAATAATGTGTGGTGTCAGGACATCATAACTAACGTTTTAAATATTTTTCAGGTGCAGCCTGTTCTCTTTTGACCTTTGTCCTTTTGATTTTAAAAGTGACTTTTACATAATTTCAAATATACAAATAAAACATTGAAGAGTTTGCTGACACATTATATTCTTTGCAGGTTAATTTTAGAGTCTTACTTAAAGTAGCAATTTTACATTTAAATTTTTCAGTTTGTTGTTTGTCTTCATCTTTGTGTGTCTGCTAAAAAGAAGAAATAAAATCCTGGCTGGTCCAATCAGTAAAACTTGGGTTGAAGGTTTTCATTGTTACTATAAAAGAAAAATACAAATTTTAAATGCTTCATCCTCATAGTGCTTTTAATTTAAATTTATAATAATAATTAAATATGGTAGAAACCAAACAATAACTGATTTATTTCTAACAAAAATGTGTTTGTGAGAAATCAAAGCAGATGATAAAACACAATTTTCATAAACTTTTATCAACTTTAAACAATCCAGTGACATATATCTGTTTACATTAATGGTATTCTCATTGAAATAAAGCAGAAATGAACAAATGAAGTTGCAGTGCTCTCAAAGAGAAATTAAGAATAGATAACTTACTGTACTTGCTATTTTCTGAACTCAAAGCGGTTTGCGACAACTATAGTTACAACCTGGAGAGGTGAGATGTCACCTTAAGTATTTGGAAAAACAGAAATGAAACAAACACATCAATTTCAGTTCATTAGGTATTGGGGATTGGTTTCAGATGTACCTACATGTTCTGTTTACTTATGAAAAAAAGAAGTGATTTCATTTGGTTTCAGTTGCTCATGTCCTAAATATACGTATAATACAACAATACACATACAAAATCTATCCACTGGCTGACTCACTGACCTAATATACCCAAATATAGGCATATATTTGTTTAGAAATGTATTGTTATTTGTGAAATGTTTTATAATGCAGAATGTAAACTTTAGAATGTAATTAACTTTGGTAAGTGCCATTTAATAAAACATTATTCAACTACTCCTAACATCTGCCTGCCTATTGACACTAATGGAACCTGATTTTATGCCTGCCTGTCTGTCTGACTCGTGTCGGTTTTGTTTATATATCACGTGCCTCTCAGACAAACTAGGCTGGAGTTCAGCTCGGTGATTGGCCGAGCCGCCTGTCAATCATTACCAAACCGCCTCTAACGCTAGCATGTTTTTGCTAATTCATCCAGAAACAAGACACTCCAGACTATTTTACTCCACAAGTACGTGTACTGTATAGTTATGTATTTAACGCTGACTTGTTTTTGTCCTCTTTACGGTTATTAAGTTCATTTTTTTTAATTAAATAGGAACAGGAAAGCCGTTGCTACTGCGAGCAGGTGCATTATCATGACAAGTCGATGTTAATGTTTCGATGTGTTGAATTTCGTCATCAGAAAGAGATAAGAGCCACTATTTCTAGTTTAGACTGTAGATAAAATGTGTTTGTGGTAATGACAAGGTCGTAACAAACAGTGACACGCTTTCCTCTGTCCTCAATGTGCTTTGCCTTACCCTAGCTGCAAATTCTATTTAGACAAATCTGTGGATATATTAGTTAATATTTTTAGGTTGATGTGTAAATGTCTTTTTGAGCTGCAGTTTTATGTAACTCCTGTTTACTAGAAAAGGTGTCACATTTTACTGCACCTAACACTGATTTAAAATCTAGATTTTCTCTTACAATGTACAGCTTTGACACATTTTCAAAAGGTTATGATTTGTTTTTTTTAATTGAAGTTCCTTGCAGATTAAGATTAAGAGACATGTGCGTCAGTGTTTATGCAATATTTAACTTTTTCAAACATAAAAATAACCTGAGTTTCTCTTTTATCATTTTGTGAAGAATTTCCTGACAGGACCACCCTCGTCTCCAACAATGGCCTCCTCTTCATCAGTTGGAGACAGACAGCTGCACAGAATAATCACAGATCTACATGGTAATTAAGCTGTTTACACATATAAGTGAACCAGCCACTTCACTTTAACTGTCTCTTTTTAGCATCAAAACAGCTCTGATTAGTCTGCACAAACTAAGGTTGTACTGGAGGCTTGAATTGGGACTTGAGCGATCTAAATTTTGGTTAATGGGGTATGGCTTTGTTGTGATATTAAAACAGATATATACTGCATTATGATATATTTCTCAAAGAGAAATGTCATTTTTAAAACATGTTTTATGGACTATTTGCTGTTTTATTGATATAAATAGAATTGTATTTATATGTTAGTAGCTTTTGCCCTTTCTGTGCACAACATCAATTTGATGTATACCCCATGCTAATTCTTTCAATCTGCCCAGAATGCAGCAGCTCGTCTTTTAACAGCAACTAAAAAATATGAACGCATAACCCCTGTCCTGGCTTCTCTCCACTGGCTTTCTGTCCACTTCCGGGTTGATTTTTAAGATTTTTTTGCTTGTTTTTAAAGCCCCGTCTTATTTATGTGATCTTATTAACATCTACACACCAGTAAGAGCACTCCAGTCTACCAACCAGTTCCTCTTAGATGTCCCCAGATCCAAACTGAAATCCAGAGGTGATCGGGCTTTTGCGATTGCTGCTCCAAAATTGTGGAACAGTTTACCCGAGAATTTAAAGGCCGCTCAGACTGTTGAGACTTTTAAATCTTTGCTGAAGACTCATCTGTATTCCTTGGTATTTGATCCACACAGAGTCTGAACAAATTTTGAGCTGATTTTATTGTTGTGTGTTTGTATTTACTGTTAACTTTCTTATGTTTTTGAGCGGCACTAGATGCATTTTTTACTCTTTTTATCTGTCTTAACTGTAACGCACGTTGGTCAGCTTTTGTATTTTTTTGTGCTTTAGAAATAAATTGACATTGACAATTCTGCTTTTGCTCTTTTACTGTAGATGCTGTGTTTGAGTTGAGTAAAGAACATAAGGAATGTGGTGAACCCATAACGGACGACAGTGCCAACCTGCACAAGTTCTTCTATAAACTTGAATACCTTCTGCAGGTAAAAGTCTCTTATTGAATGTGGACAGTTTTTAATGAATGAAGTGGTGGATTTGTCTGATTTAAAGTTTGTTCTGTGAAATATTCATGATTATCTGAAAAAAATTAGAAGAAAATTTGTGTCAAGGTGAAGGGACGGATGTTATAATACACAGTAATGCACAAAAGTCTTATTTCTTCATATTTTACTTCAGTTTAGCCAAATCCTGTTGTAATGTTTTATAATGGTTTGGAAAAATAAATAGTTCTTCAGATTCTGAGAAGGTCTTAACAATTTCCTGCGAGATCAATAAAGTTCTGTCTTATCTTATCTTATTTGAAACAGTAGTGTGTGCACTCACAACTTAGCAAAATAAACAAACAAGCAAAATTACAATTTGATCCATCTTATAAAGGTCATCAGTCCTAATTTCACAAATTTTGGATCAACATTACAGAGCTTTCTGACATAACACAAAGACCAATAAACAGAAGTAGAGTTTATAAACAAATGTCATGCTGTTCTCCTTGTGCACAAACTCGAGCACAGAGTGGCAACATGTCAAAAGTAGAACCACAATTACCACTGACATGTGACAGTCAAAGGCATCTGTTTTTTTTTACCATATTTTTCGCCGTATAAGTTGCACCTTGTTGCATAAATTCAGCCTTTATTTAGACAGGTAAATCCCATTGAGCCTCGAGGACTCATTTACAAGAGAGACCTGATTTCAACAAAGAATGATGACAACAACGGACAGCAAGGACAACAGTAGACAGTTATAAAAAGGCATACAGATTTTTTTTTTTTTTACAAATAAGATGGCAAAAAGAGGAACAAAAACAGCTAGATTATGACATTGGAAATTGAAATTATAAATTATTATATTTGTTATAAATAACAATTAGAAATTGGCAAGTTCTGCAACTTATACACCGAAGCGACTAATATACATTTTTCCCCATATTTATAACCCAATTTTTGTCTGAGATCTGACGATTTCATTCGTACTGACATGAAAAATAATAAACATTCATTTTTGCAGCTGCTAGAGGGCCCTCGAGCATTATGGCAAGCCAAGTATCTCATTAATAGGTAAAAGTAGCTATTAATGAGACACTTGGCTTGCCATACAAAGCCACCTTACCTTAATCTCGCTTTGGAACTCCTGGAGCAAACATCAAATCAGCTGCATTTCGCCGCGCTGCCCAGGTGAAATGCAGCTGATTTGACCATTGAAGTGCATTTATTAAGAAAAAGTTCTACTGAGACACACCTTTACTATAATTTGGAGCAAACAAATAATTGTTTTTAAGTGTTAATCTTGTTAAATTCTTGTTAAAGTCATCCCATACGCACTCCCGCAGCTGTCATTTTTCTAGCCAATCGATTTTTGGCACAACACCGGCCCACATTTCCAGGTGGTCAGCGGTGACGCATAACAAACGCAACACGTCAGCGGTGACGCATAATAGATGCAACTTATTTATGTTTTTGTCCACTTTATTAGACATTTTTGGACTGATGCGACTTGTACGGCGTTGCGACTTTACAGCGGAAAATATGATACTTCCTCTGGGAATTTTTTTTATCTTACTCTGCTAATGTTAAAGCATAATAATTATTAGAAGTTAGAAAATAAGTGCAGGCAGCGTACTGGTTATAGTGCAATATTATGAGCAAATATTATTTAATTAGAGCCTGTTAGGTTGTACATATGTGCTCCACAATGAACACAAATACAGACACACAAAGCAGCATCTCTTTGTGTGTTTAAATATCAACATGCATATTAAAAAGGCCTGAGCACAGTTGCATTTCTCTTACATGTCACATTAGTTATATCCTACGTAGATATTTTTACTGTGACAGATGTGTTTTGTAATTCCTGTTTAATTATTTTAACAAGATGGTTTGGGCCTTTCAGTTTGACCAGAAAGAAAAGACAACCTTTCTTGGCCAGAGAAAGGACTACTGGGATTACTTCTGCGAGTGCCTGATTAAGATCAAAGGAGCTAACGATGGCATCCGTTTTGTTAAGTCCATCCCAGAGGTAATTTTTCTGTGTAGCACACACACACACACACACACACTTGATAGCCTGGGTGCCTTTGTCTTGCCATGGCATGCATCACAGGCACTCAAATGACTGCACAACACTGGTACTAATCCTTTGGCTAGTGAGGAACTGTAAGATGCTGCTAATTCACTTGCAGCCTTACACCTGGACCACCTGTGTCTCTGTGCCTGGAATTCACTGGGGTGAGCGTCATGCTGATCAAATTAGTTCAGGTTTTTGTTATAATTAACTTGTTCACTGGGTTAGAATATCATAACACGGACTATTATAAGTATGCTTTTAGAATTGTACGTTTTGGCAATGAACAAGCTACATCATTTTGTTTCTGATGGATTAGTGGATATACAAGTACTCGCATATTGTATATATTTTTTTATTTTTTAAGGTTTATTTTTCTTGTTTTACTCAATATTTTAGCTTATCAACTGTGAGAAACTGGTCAAATGAGCTATTTTTGATTTGATACATTTCAGTGATTTGTTTAAGTATACTGTAGTACTGTTGCTATTTAAAAACAGAGTTAACCAAAGATCTGTTTTAAAATGGACTGATAATTCTAAAGTTGTGAAATGTGGTTAACTAATTAGGCTTTTTCATTTGATCATTTTATCAAAACGTTAATTATATATTTGTCACAATGACTCTTCCTAAGGTCCTGTTTTTTCCATCCAAGCACAGTAAAACATAATTTTGTGTATTCTTTAATGTTAGAGTTTGAAACCATCAGATATTTATAATTGTATGCTTGAAAATTGTCTAAATAACAAAAAAAGTTAAATTATATGAACAATCATTTGAGTTACAGGAAGATGACTTCGTAAGTAAGCTATATTTTAACATCCATCCATTATCTTTACCCATTTATTCCTTTTCATGTCATGGGGGTCACTGGTGTTCATATCCAGCAGTCACTGTGTGAGAAGTGGGGGACACCTTGGACAGGTCTCTAGTCCATCACAGGGACACATAAAGACAAACGAGACAAACAACCATTCACTCTCTCACCTACAATTTAAAATTACCAATCAGTCTAGCATATGTTTTTGGTCTGTGGGAGGAAACTGGAGTACCTGGAGAAAATCCACGCATGCACGGAGAGAACATGCAAATTCCACCCAGAAAGGTTCCCGGCTGGGATTCGATCCAGCAACCTTCTCGCTGACGGGCAACAGCTCTACAAACTGTGCCATCGTGCGTATTTTAACATGAGAAGGTTAATTAATTAGTAAAGTCTGATTTATTCACAATAAGAAAATAAATGGTCTCGTTTCATGCTATTTGATTGTTTGTCACATTAATATTAGGCTTTTACACGAGTCGTCATGTTTTTTTTTTTTCCTCAGAAGTCAAAAACTTTAGTTGAATTCTGAAAATTATCATTTGAGGCCTTTGGTATTCCAGTTAAATCTTCCGTCACTGTTTTTGTATCCTTTCATCAGTCACACAATTAAACACGACCAGGAGCTCCAGCTGGTGTCCTTCTGGTAAATCTGTGAATGTGTCGTCTTACTTAAATCCCTTTATCTGCCAGTTTGTTGGACAAGCCATGGTTTCACATCGGCTCTGTACATTAAGTGTCTGTAGGGTGAGAAAACTGCACAAAAACAAATCAGCAGATAACTATTTTATTTTTGTTTATCACTATTCTTGAGTCAACTTTCACTCAGTACGCCACGTTACTTCCAGGTGGAAGCTTTTTTAGTTCGATGGGTATCTAATTAAATCAACTTGATAAAAATATTTCCTATCCTTGATGAAATTTTGCTTCAGAAAATATTCTTGCTGAATTGTAATAGAGTTCCTATATCAGAATCAGAATAAGCTTTATTATCATTGAACCGGGATACAGTGAAATTATGTTCGTACAGTCGTCCAGAAGACGGGCAGAGTGCACATTGCTGCTGCTATAATAGCGCGGCCCCTTATTCTTTATCAGAATACTTTTAGATAGAAAAAGGTAAAAGCCATGAGGATGGATAGTGGTATTACAAAAAAAGATCTCTTCACATCTTGTCCTATCGGGACATGATTTAAGATATTAAAAAAACTCTACCAGCAAGCACATTTATAAACACATTACATATGTATTTGATGTCAAGACATTGAAATTTGTCCATAAGCACTTTCAGATAGGCCACAGTTCTGATGTTGTTGTTCAGCCGTTAGTTCTGATAAGCCTGCACAGAAGTTCTCGGGGCGGGGGTTAGTTACCCATGTCCCAGGAGAAATTTGATAGTCGGCTCGTATCCGAGGCCAAACTGGGGAGTCAGATTCAGATAAGCCGCAATTGTTGCTTTTCTTCAGGCAGACCGTTGTTTCTTGTCAGCTGTAGATGAACAGATGCTCAGATATATTCATCAATTAACGCGGATTCCTCATTTTTCTGAACTGAATAAAACGTGCATTGAATTTAATGAAATGCAAACGTGAGACGTCATTTATGTTTGACCCATCAAAATGAATGCGGTCATTTATTTACAGAATCAAAGTTTAACATCAAACATTTACATTAATTTGGCAAATTATGAAAATAACAACATAAGCAATCAATCAGGAAAAATCATACGGCCATGATTTTTCCGTTGCTTCACCACAGACATTTATGAAACTGTACAATTATGATCTTTTACCCACACGGATGTGGATGAGCATTTTACACAGACATTTCTAAATATCTGGAAGAATATCTACTTGATAGAAAGTTTAAAGATGGGAAAGAAGTTTAGAGGGAGTAAAGATGGTATGGGAGGGGAAGTGTTCACCAGAATTGACACTCTCCATCAGAACCCAGCTCTCCCCGGTACGCTTGGTAGGAAACTTGACTCATTACCTTTCTGAGGTTAATCAGCAGATATGGAGCTCCGTTAACGCTACCTGTCCAGCGTCTCCTTAGGATGCTGTGAATCGTCAGAAGTAGTGGCGAGTGAAAATGTTATAATCCCATGGAACTCGGAAGAGCTCTGTTGTCATGTCAGGATCATCCCGTCTCTCACAGAACTGTCCAGCGCTAGGACATATCAGCACTGTCCGCGCCGCAGAACTTCTCCAACCAGCAGAACTCAACAGAATTTCTCCAGAGCTTCAACAGAACTGAGTAGTTTACGGATCTGAGTAGAGCAGGAAGTACCGACATTTTAAAGAGCTGTTTTCCGGTCCATCTGGGAGTATTCCCATTGGTCAGAAACAACCAGACGGGGTGTGTTTTGTGACGTAAAAGGTTAGAATGCAGCAAGAATTGTTATGGAAAGATCAGAAATGTTCTCACAGACAGAGAGAGTTTTGTTTTGGCGCGTTAAAGAAACAGGTGCCAAAACCTCTATATTTATGTCTGAGAGGATTCTAAAAACATGACCGTTCGTTCCAACAACTTGTTTTGCGTTTGACTCCAACCTTGGACCAACTTACACTTGCTCATTCAAAGGCAGAAATCAGAAAATGCATAAAAATCTGTAACAGACCTCAACATGAATTCTAACTTTGCATGAGAAAAAATCATTACACAGTTAATAAAATTGATTAGTTCACTGCAACATCTAAAATGGTTTGAACTAAAACACTTTGATTATCAACATTTGTAAAATAGTAATGATAATAAAAAGAGAGTGTTCTTTTCACTTGAATCTTCAAGAAAGAAAGTCTCAGGATGGGTGAACCTGTATTTCTGGATTCAAATCAATAAAATGACAGTTCCTGTCCCACAAGGTTCTTAAGGTCAAGGGTTTTGACCTTAGGCTTAGTCGTGACACCAGATTAAGTTCACTACAGTCTTGAGTCCTGCTGGAACTTTACCGATCCAAAATGGCCAGATTTATGGGTATTTCACTGGTCCGTGTTATGAGCCTTCTTCAAGGTTGTTCCCAACATGCTGGTGAGTCCTAGAAGCCGCAGGTGGCCTGTGATTCTCACAGATCGCCTCCATCCTATGGTTTAACTCGTAAATCAGCTGATTTTGGATACTCTTAGCACGAACCAAACCTTCACACAGACTCTGAAGCTTTGCCGTGGCCGAAACTGCTGCCGATGTCTTCTTCAAAAGTTGATTAAACAGAACACTGCCGATGCCAAAAAGAAGAAACCCTGCTATAATAAATCCAAATATATAAACGTCTTCGGCGTTCTCCTGAGACAGAACTGAGAGACACATCAGCTGCCAAACTCCCCATGGATCTCTGATGTACCCTGCAGCGTGAGTCTCAGTCGGACAAGCGGGTTCTTCAGGACCCTGTAATTTTGTTGAAAATATTATTCTGTTTTGGGGTAAACAATATAATTAAGTTACAAATAAAAAAGGTTTGCAGCCTTAACCAAGCAACTGGCATGACTCATGTGCAGGCAGTCTTACTGTAGCTCAACTTCCTTGTGTGAAGACGACCTGATTCTTATTGTTGATTGGAAAGAAAAAATGAGAACTAACTCAGCATGGTAGCTGCTGTCATTTCTGGATGTTTATGCTCAACATTCATATGAGTGTGTTTTTGTTTCCACAGCTGAAGACCTCTCTGGGGAAAGGAAGGGCTTTCATTCGTTACTCACTCGTCCACCAGCGTCTTGCTGACACTCTGCAGCAGTGTTTCATAAATCAAAAGATCACAAGGTCAGAGGTCACTTCAACACATATACAATTGTTTATCTTCTTTTAGTTGTGCTCGTGTTGTTTCTCCTCAGACGTGGAGTACTTTGTTCTGTATCCATTTTCAGGAAGTGAAACTTTCCCTTCCTGGTTTTTGTTTTATTTCTGTTTTTAAAAAGAAAAACAACTTACACCATAGATCCCTGTTCATTTCCTGTCTTCCGCTAAACCAAAAGTCATTTTCTTCATAACTTATTTGACATTTAATTCAGCGGGGCAGTTTGAAATAGCCAAAGTGTAACTGGTGTAAAACAAACATGGCGATGAATGAACTGTGTAAACTCTGGTTGTGTTTTCCTACTAAATTATTTTTTTATTTTATAATAATGGTGCTACTGAAGCTGAGAGGTAACTGCAAATCTTGTGCTTCTGTACAACAACGAGTTCATCATCAAGAGCCTGGAAGAGACGATCATGACAACTGACAAAATGTTCATTACAATGAATGTTTAGAAGCTGTACATTTATTCTAAATCCTACAAATGAAGAACTGGGATTTTTATGTAAGATCTTTTCCCCATGCTCATTACCTTTTTGATAAATAATAAGAGAAAAGAGGCAAGATAAGCCATTCATTTGTATTCATTTATACACATCAAGTCTTGTTGTAGCTGCTCAGTTTGTGCATGTAGTAGATTCTCTGCTCAGATATGGCACCACTCAATCATCAAATCAAGTCTCAAATAAACCCACTTTCCTTCTCAGGTGAGATTTTCTTTTTACCTTTTTAATTTATTCTTATTAGAGATCCAATTGAAATTGCTCTTTTGATGTGATTTTTTTTTTTTTATCAATGTAGCCTGACTGTTGTTGCATAAATGGAGTTGATCTAAGAAACTGGAAACTTTGGCCAGGATTAATTGGATAAATGCAGACTGTTTGTGGCGAGGCTGCAACACTTGGGTGCCATTAAATCCTTTTTCATGTGTTGGCAAGAAAAAAAGAAAAGAAATGGGATGTTTCCTGGATTCGAATACCAGCTATACAGTAGTCCCTCGTTACTTCGCAGTTTGTTTTTCGCGGACTCGCTCTATCGCGGTTTTTCAAAGTAAGATTGGACATGACACAATCGGCTGATTGATGGATGAGCCGCACGATCGGCATGGAATTTTTATTTAAAATAAATTATTTTAAATTATTTAGCACCTGTGTGCAGCCCACAGCTGTGGGAGAAGCTTCCTCCCGCAGCTGATCAGCTGATCTCCATGCAGAGCGGAGAAGTGAACGTGGCCGAGAGTGCAGCCAGAGGCAGAGAGCTGAAATCATGACGTGCTGTGCTCTTTTAGAGCGTTCATTTTCACTTATCGCAGGGCTTCAGGGTAGGGATACCCCGCAATAAACGAGGGACTATTGTATATGTTTTTTCTTCTGAATTCTCGTTATTTTTTGTTTTGCTTGCAAGCATTTGTGCTGTATTTTTTTTTCCAGAAACATTTAGACTTCCTGTTTGTCCGTTGAGTTTATCTTATCTTAAGTTGCTTTACTGTAAACATACTTGTTGCACATAAAATGTGCGTTTCCTTCACGGCGTTCTGTTTAATTTTTGTTTGTGTTTTATATCTACAGTGACTGGTATTATGTCCGGAGCCCATTTCTTAAGCCTCCCCTCACTGCTGACATAATCAATCATCTTTATGAACTCAACCAGATCCAGTTTGATGTGGCAGCCAGAGGTTACGACCTCGATGCAGACTGGCCATCATTTGCAAGGTAAGGTAACCGGCACCTGCTGGATGTTTCTTTTCTTTTTCTCTGAGGAAAACAAATGTTTTGTTGTTCATTTATTTTATAAAGACGTTTTTTTTTTTTGTGCGTGTGTGCGCGTGTGCGCGTGCGTGCGTGTGTGTGTGTGTGTGTGTGTGTGGTGAGAAAATACACGTGAGAAAGGCTTTAGGTGTTGACAATGTTTAAAGTGCTGGTCTTGTTTCCTCTGGTTTGCATCTATGTCATGTCTTCGGACTTTCATTATCAGCAAACCGCTATCAGAAATCTTAAAATATAATTAAAGAAAGCAAATTCTAAGATAACCCTAATTTATTAATTTGGTAACACCCTTAGATACATTGTATGCTAAAGTGTTTAACAGCATTTTTTATGAAGGCTAGAATTACATTAGACAATGATCTTTGCTGCTTTTTGTAATTTATTTTTAGTAAGTGGCTGTGACAGGTTTTTGTTCTGCTTATTGTTTCTTTGGAATAGGCTGAAGTTGAATTTCACAAAAGCACACTTTGTTTTTTCTCGTTACGTTAAAGGAGGATGTGGTTTATTAAACCAGTGTCATGACAGCACCAGAGAATGAAGTGTCATTATTTCAGTGGCTTCCAGCTCTAGTTTTTTTCTAAAAATGTTACATACATAAGGTTTGTTCAAATTCAGAAAAATGGATGAAACTCTTTTGATCAGGACAGAAACTTTGCTTTCAGACTGCAGGCTTACTTGTGGTTCCTAGAGTTTCCAAAAGTAGGATGGGAGGAAGATCTTTCAGTTATCAGGCTCCTCTCTTATGGAACAAACTTCCAGTTTCTGTCCATGAGTCTGACACATTGTCCAGTTTTAAGATTGGGATTAAGACTTTTCTTTTTGATAAATCCTGTAGTTACGGTTGGCTTGTTATGCTGCTATAGGCATAGACTACTGAGGGCAAATTTTCATTCATTCAACCTTTATTTAGACAGGTAAGTCCCATTGAGCCTCGAGGACTCCTTAACAAGAGAGACCTGATTTCAACAAAGAATGATGACAACAATGGACAACAGCGACAACAATAAACAGTTATAAAAAGTCATACAGATTTTTTTTTAACAAATAGGATGGCTAAAAAAAAGAAAAGTAACAAAAAACAGCTAGATTATAAGGCGAATGTAGAAAACTAAAAACAGGAACATGTCTGCATTGGTCCCTGCCAGGAGTCCAACAGATTCTTAAAGCCACTTAGAGAGGTCAAGGTCGAGAGCTTCAGATCTTTTTGTAAGATATTCCAGGAAACAGGAGCGGAGTAGGAGAAGGCCCTTTTGCCTAGTTCAGTCCTTGCTGAGGGAACACTGCAGGTAATAATGTCCTGAAAGTGCATGCTGTAGCTGCACTCACACAGAGACATGTAGGAGGAGATGTATGAAGGCAGCAGACGAAGAAGTGATTTAAAGATGAAAATGTACCAGTGAGAGAGTCTGCGTGAAGTTAATGGCCAGTTAACCAGTGAATACAGGGTGCAGTGGTGGGTATGATAATCACAGCCAGTTATGAATCTTAGTGTGCCATGATAGACAGCATCCAACATCTGCAGGGTTCTTGTAGGAGCATTCGTGTAAATAATGTCACCGTAATCAATGGAGGGAAGGAAGGTCACAGGTACAAAGTGTTTCCTAGTATTCAGAGTTAGACAGGATTTGTTTCTGAAAAAGAAACCCAGTTTAACTTTCAGTTTCTTTACTAGGTTTTCCACATGGTGCTTAAAAGAGAGATGCGAGACGACCAATATACCCAAATATTTATAGGAATCAACAAACTCAATGGGGACACCATTTGAGGATGAAATCAGAGGAAGAACTGCTGGGACCAACTTCCTATTTGAAAAAAGCATCCCTTTGGTTTTGTCGGCATTTAGGACAAGTTTGAGGTGGAACAAATTTGTCTGGATGTTGTCAAATGCAGATTTCAAAAAGCTGGAAAGCCTTTTCAACTGTTTTAGCTCGACAGTAAACAACAGTGTCATCGGCATAGAAATGTATGGATGCATCAGGGATGTTTTTACCTACATTACTAATGTAGATTGTAAAGAGGGTGGGTCCTAAGACTGAGCCTTGTGGTACACCATTGTTGACTGTTAAATAACTAGAGAAAGTACCATTATGTTGAACACATTGCCTCCGGTCTGAGAGATAGTTAGAGAACCAACCAATGGTGTGATCTGAGAAACCAATTTCTGAGAGTTTATGACACAAGATGTTCTGATCCACAGAGTCAAAAGCTTTAGACAGGTCTAAGAAAAGTGCAGCACAATAATCCTTAGTATCCAGTGCTACAACAACGTCATTAAGAACCTTCAGTGAAGCAGTTGTTGTGCTGTGTTGTTACCTGAAACCAGATTGAAGGCGAGATAAGATGTTAAATTAGTCCAGGTAATTTTTAATTTGAGAGTTTATTAGTTTTTCTAGAACCTTGGCTAAAATGCAGAGTTTAGAGATTGGTCGATAGTTGTTCAGTGAGGTGGGGTCACCTCCCTTCAGCAAAGGAAGAACTAAGGCTGTTTTCAAAGCATCTGGAATGGAGTTTTGGCTCATGGAGAGATTGAAGATGTGGGTCACAGGGACTGTGATGATATGAGCAGCCAGCCTTAAGAAATAATGTGAAAGTTCATCTGGACCTGCAGATTTTTTAGGATCAAGATCTTTTAACAGTTTATTGACCTCACAGACTGAGAATAGAGAAAAAGAGAATGTGTGATTAACTGAGGATTGACTTGTAGGAGGGATTTGATTTGTATAAGTTTGGTTATTAAGTGAAGTGGCTGTTTTTCCATTAGTAACTGTGTCAAATAAAGAACTAGAAGCAACAAAATGTTTGTTGAAACAGTTCAGGATCTCGTGCTTATTTGACACAGGAACAGAGTTAATGAGAAGTTGTGATGGGAGGTCAGATGATTGGGGGGTGCCTGAAAAAGATTTGATGGTTTTCCAGAATTTGATTGACCTCATTTACTTAAATTAATTGTTAAAATTGAATAGTTTTCATTTGATACTATTTCTATCAACGTGATTCTTGACCTGCCATTGTGTATCTGTTCCTCCTTCCGGTTCCTCTCAAACCCAGCTGGTTGAAGCAGATGGTCGCTTGTCTGGAGCCAATTTCTGCTAAAGGTTTCTTCCTAATGAGGGAGTTTTTCCTTTCCACTGTTGCCTGTGTGCTTGCTCAAGATGAGAGTTCTGCAATGGAGTTAAATTCAAAGCAGTCTGCTCCTCGGATAAATAATAATGTTAAATTATTTTTTATGTATATGAATGTTTCTGTTCAGTGCCCTGAGACGACTTCTGTTGTAACTTGACGCTATATAAACGCTTGTATGGATGCTCTGACTGTGATGTTAAAGTAATTTTAAGGCCCTTTTAAAATTTAATTAAGGTTTATCCTCTTTAATTTGTCTCTTTTTATGTTTAGCACTTGAGCTCTGTTTTACAAAGTAACTCTTGTGTTTGTGTTTTTATCACATGAAAGGCGAACCTTAGGAGCTGCCTCATCTGCTTATTTGTGGAAGCCTCCAAGTCGTTGCTCCAGCATCAACAGCCTGGTTAGCAGCGTTTCACACTCTCAGGTAATCTGATTATTAGCTGTGAATTAATAGAGTTAAAAACGAACAAAAAATGGCTACATGTGATAAGTGTTTACAGCATATGACAATAGATCTCCTTTCTCTGTTTCTTGGTTCTGACCAGGCACGGGAGTGTCCTCCAATTCCAGACGTGAATCAAAGTCTGCTTGGTGAACTTAGAGGCTTAGGGGAACCGTCTGCTTACAGCATTTCAGAAACTCTCCGCATTGAGCTTGATCAATCTGAGCTTAGACAGCGTGAGCTTTTGGTACGGGTACAGGAGTTGGACCATGAAGCTGCTGAACTCCGAGTTGTTGTCAAAGACCTTCACAAGCAGTTGTCTGTCCTTTCAGCATCTAAAGCTGCCAAGTTGAATTCAGAAACAGGTCTTGAGAACAGAGTAAATCACCACCTCGGAGAATCGGCTATTGCCGATTTGCATGAGAGACTTACGGCTGCTGAGGATAAAAACATGGAGCTTCTTTCTAAGTTAGACGAGGCTCTCAATGAAAAGGGGCAACAGACAGCTAGCTACTGTGATTCAGCCTGGAAAATTCAGGAACTCCTAGAGAAAGTTAAGACTGCAGAGGAGGAGAGGTTAGAGACAAAGAGAGAGGTCGAGGACAGGGCCAGACACTCGGAGCATTTGTCACAGCAGCTAAAACTCAGAGAAGAAGAGTTGAGGCACAGTGAGGAGAAACTGGCCAAAGTGACAGCCAGTGCTCACAACGAAAGAGAAGAGGCGCTTGCACGATTGGAGGAGCTCCAAAGCGTGGTCAGTCGAATTCAAGGTGCACTGACTTTAAAAGAGAAGGAGACAGGAAACTTAAGGGCACAGTTCCAAGACGTGCAGGCCTCTTTGGACTGCAGGGAAAGACAAGCAGAGGAACTGAGGAAAAGACTGCAGGAAGAGAGAGACGAGGTAGTGCAGAGATGTGGTATGAGCTGTGAGGAGCTCGAGAACCAGATGTTGGATTTAAGAAGAACTTTAAAGAACAAAGAAAAAGAACTAGCTGCTAGTTCTGAACATGTCAGACATTTAGAGGAGCAGTTAGAGAAGCTGAACGTTGGGAGAGAAACTCTGTGCTCTCAAGTTGATGATGCTGACACCATTTTATGTAATGAAATTGAAAGCACTCAGGACTACAAAACCCAATGCAGCAATCTCATGGAAATGAACACAAAGCTTCTCCAAACCCTTAACAAGAGTGAAACGAGCCTTGCAGAGCTGACTGAGAGCCGTGCTGCCCTTTTAGAGCAGCTGGCTGCTTTGAAAGCCTCTGAGAAGCACCTGACAGGTAGAATAGAAATGGCAAATATGAATGTAAAAGACAGAGAAAATAAGCTTTTAGATGAAAACCTGCATCTTGAGGAGACGGTTCAGAGGGCTTGCTTTCAGAAGGAAGAATCAGATGTTCAGGTAAAGAAGTTAGAGCAGGAAAACCTGAAGCTTTTAGATGCTCAGTCCTCACTGCATACACAGTTAACTGCTACTCAAGAGAAGCTGGAGCTGCTGACTTCCAAAAATGTCATGTTAGAGAAGAGCCTTACAGTCTCCCAAAGAGGTCAAGCAGAGTTACTTGAGACACTCCAGGGATCTGAAGATAAGCCGAGAGCCCAAACTGTGAATTGCAGCATCCTGCATGCTCAAACAGACGAGCTGGAGAGCAAAACTGGAGAGCGTCACCGTGTAAAAAGAGCTGCAGAATGCACTGAAAAAATGCAAAAGCATGATGGTGAACATCAGACCTCCTCACTAAAGAACAAAGAGGCCCCAATCAGGCTGGCCATAGCTGAAGCTCAGTTGGAGCTCAACGTAGGGGAAGTAGCCAGGCTAAGAGAGGAGGTGGTGGAGCTCAGGGCTCAGCTGCTGGCAAGAAATGAGGAGAAGATAAAAGTCCAAACCCTGCAAGAGGTGACAGAGGCCTCCAGAGAGGATCTCTGTTTTTTAGTGGACCAGCTGAAGGCCCAGGTAGAAGAGCTAAACCGCCGACACGTTGATGATATTCTTAGATCTCGAGAGCATGAGGAGGCTCTTATCTGTGAGCGTGACTGTGAGGCCCAGGCTCGAGCAGGTCTGGCTGCGGAGCTGACGAGCTGCAGGGAGGAGCTCGATACGCTGAAAATGAGCTACGAAGCCTTATGTCTGGAGAACAATGAATCGCAGGAGGCACTTCACCGAGCCAACACGGAGACAGCCGAGTTCGGTGTGAACGTCTGCATGCTGACCGCTGAGAAAGAGGAGGCTCGTCTGCGCTGGGAGGACCTGTCAACAAGGCTGCATGAACTGGAGGAGGAGGCAGCTCAGGAGGCGCAGAGACTGAACACCTGCTTAAAGCAGCTACAGCAAGAGAACTCTGAGCTGCATAGTCAGCTCTGTAACAACGAGAATCTGCTGGCTGTCAAGCAGAAACTGCAGGCCGAGCTGAACGAGGCCCAGCAGGAAGTGGAAACGGCACGGAAGACGACTCAGGAGGAGATTCAAGTTCTTCAGCTTGAACACAGCAGCCAAGCCACATCCCACAAAAAACAACTACAGGTCAGATATGTGACAAATTTAAAGGCTATAATATAGAGCATGTTTTAAATGCACTTTTCTTTCTTATGTTATATCTTATTTAGATTCTACATGAGCAAACTCCTTTGTGTAGGGCACTGAGCTCACCTGGAAAAAAACATGACATAAAAATTATCTGCAAAACGCAGTAGATTTATTATAATAATAAGTGACTTGAGAAAATTAGTTTACTGTACTGCAAACACAACAAGCTAAAGTAAGACATACATTATGTTATTAGTTAACCTGAGGCCTGTTCTATAAAGCAGGGTTCATTATGAAAGGTTTTACATTCAGTTCTTTATTCACTAGGAATATTTGTCATCTTGTAATGCTTAAATTTTATGCATGTATTGTCAGCCTTATATGATATGATTTTGTCCCAGAAGGTGAATCAGGAGTTGCAGGAAATGAAACTACAGCTGGTTACGGAGCAAGAGAAAGCTGACAGATTAGAAAGCAAACTCGAGCAGGTGGAGGTGAGTTTACTCTGCTGTCTGGGCAATGATATGAATATCCAAAGTACTGAAGAAATTTTTTGGATGAAAGGCGAAATGTTTCTACAATTTTTTTGTCTTTTGAGCCCGTCCAGAGGACCAGACTTAACTTTTTTAGATGGATATCCAAAGTACTATTAAAAAAAAACTGCAGTAGTAAAGGACATTCTGTTTGCAAAGACAAACCTTGACTTTCTGTTGTTGTTGTTTTTCTGAAATGTTAAAAGCCAAATACAGCTGTTGTTTTCTTTGGCAAAAAGTACAAATTATACAGGTGCTGGTCATGAAAATAGAATATCGTGAAAAAGTTGATTTATTTAAGTAATTCCATTTAAAAAACTTGTATATTATATTCATATTACACACAGACTACACAGTTCACAGAATTTGGGGTTTTCATTAGTTGTCAGTTATAATCATCAACATTAAAAGAAATAAACATCTGAAATATATCAAATCTGTGTGTATTGACTGAATATAATGTACAAGTTTCACTTTTTGAATGGAATTACTGAAATAAATCAACTTTTTCATGATATTCTAATTTTATGACCAGCACCTGTATATTTTTGAGTGGTTACTTTTTCGAAATATGATTTATTATTGACATTAAAAAGTTTGATCAGGGTTTTAAAAAGCCACATTATATTTTTCCTCTGTGGTATGGACATTGGTTAAACATGGTGACAGAAACAACATATTTGTAGACAAGTAAATAAAATGACCTGCTTTAACACTAGAGATTTTGGACTATAATACTACATACGCTCTGTTAAAATGTAACACCTCATATAGGTGTGGCACAATGAGAACCACACAACAAAAACTCGTAAATGAATAGTTGGGGAAAGCAAACAGCCACGCTGCAGCCTGCATCAACAGCCGAGTAAATATGCTGCTCACACCTGCAGGTGGTTGCAATAATTGCAAGTGAGGTTCCTACCTGAAACAACAGATTTGCACAACTTGTAACAAAGCACAGATTTCAGTTGAGTTGTGTTAAATGTTAGATGCAGTAATCATAATGTCATAGTCACAAGCGTACTCATAAAGACCCCAAAAATTATGTGCTTTTCTGCTGTACTGATCGCAGGCTGAGAATCAGAGATGTAACCAACAGATTGAGGAGAAAAACATCCAGATGGCCGAGTCGGCAAATCTCATCCTGCAGAAAGAAGATGAGATAAACCATCTGAAAGAAAATTTATCAAGGTGAGATACGGTGTTTATAATCACACTTTCTGAGCAAAATGAAACAGCTTTGATTAAAGCTTCTTTTTTTTTTATCTTGTGTATTTTTAATCTGGCTTCATGTATAATTTTTACAATCTGCTGATGTTTTTCAAATTTGAGCTTAAAAATAAGACTGAGATGATCTCTGCCAAAGCCACCTGGGATTCTGCCTGTGTTTTTGGACATGCCATGAGTCGGCTTGTTTACTCGCTGATTGCAGGTCTGAGGCTGGTCTGGCAGCAGCTCAGCGGGTCTGTCAGGAGATGGCTGAAAATTTACGGAAGGTCACTCAGGACAAACAGAGCTTTGATCTAAAGGCAGCTGCTGAACTTGATGATCTTTATCGAACCAAAATCAATTTGGAAGAAAGACTTGTGGAGCTCATCAGGTATATTAGGCTCATCATTAATTTTGTTTACTCCATGACATTTGTCATTAAACATTGACTTTTTGATTTTGATTTGTGTACTGTCTTGCTTTAGTTTTTGATTGATCCGTATGCCAATATGCTGTTGGGGTTGCTGTCTCGCTACGTATTGTAAAGTGCCATTTCTGAGGGCTGTAAAAACACTTGTTTGTGTTCCTTGCAGGGAGAAAGATGCACTTTGGCAAAAGTCGGATGCCCTGGAGTTCGAGCAGAAACTGCGGGACGAGGAGACAGAGCGAGACGTCCACTATTGTATAGGATGTCACACTCAGTTCAGCTGGTGGCTCCGCAAATACAACTGCAGGTCACAAACTTCTCTGTACAAAGAAATATAGTCTTTTGTTAAGCAGCTTAATACATTTTAATGGTGCTTCTTGTTAGATGCTTTTTTTAAATTCTTCCAAAATATTTAACTACTTTCATACTTTTCAAACCCCTGATGTTCAGACAAATCGGTACAGCATTATACAGCCTTCCAATTTGTTCTGCAAGATACAGACTTTTGTAATCAAAATGCATTGAGGTAAACGCAGATAAACGTCATAGGAACTCTTTCCTGAAGCCTAACATTTCACTTCCGCTCTAGAGTTATGAACTATATATATATTTTGTAAAGCTATATATCCTCTTCTTCAGCCTGGTCCTCTTTGTCTAAGACAATAATTGTAACTATGGTGACTGAATTCATTATTGTATTGGTTAATACAGCTGATTTGCTAAAATGCTCATTTTAATCAAAATAAACTTTTTTTTCATCCATTGTGTAGCTGAATAGACCATCATAACAAAACCAAAAACTCCCTTTTTTATTTTAATGAGTGAAAAATAACTACACGTTATAAATTTGTCAAGCAGTTTAGCCCTCCAACTGGTGGTGCCGTATAACATTTGGAAAGACAGCTTTACATAGCCATGACCTTCGGTACATGCAGATCTGTGCAGATACCAGCAAATCACAGATTGTTGAGCTCTCGAGATCAAATCTGAAAAGAAAAAAACGACTAAAGTTTGATGCATTGGAGAGATGTTTTCAAATATAATAATGTTTTATGCATGACTTCTCTTTACATACACTTCTATAACTTGCCACATCCTTTCTTGTGTTTTATACAACTGAGATGTTTTTTGCTCACACTGTGTCTTTGTCATGTTATGTCCTCCAGGCTGTGTGGGCGTCCCTTCTGCTACTACTGCTGCAGCAACACAGTGAGCACCCAGCAGGGCAGCGGCAAAGAGCGCTGCTGTCAGTACTGTTACAACCAGCACAGTGCTGTAGTTGAGCGCCACCCACAGGTGGAAGTGACCCACAGCACCCCAGGATCACCATTCAGCCGCTTGCTGCAGACTACCCGATCACTGGCTGGTGTTGCAGGTGCTACAACGCCCAGTGTTTTATATCAATGGGCACTTTTAATGGAGGCTGATAGTGTCTTGATACACACAGTGCAATAAGAATATAAATGCATCAACAAAGCTGATGTCTACTTTTCAGGGGGAGAGGAAGGAGAAAAGCCAGACGATGGTGTTTTTGATATTATCACAGAGGAGGAAGTGAGCGGTGTTAGCAACAATCACTCTTTCACCTCTGCCTGCTCTCCTGGACATGACCAGCAGGGGGCGCCACAGCTGTAAATATCTCACATTCACAATAAAAAGCACACAGCAACAGGATTTATAAACTGCAGCATGACGTACTAATACTAAGCATCAAAGCAGATTTGGTCTTAATTTTTATACCACCTTTTGCAGCACTTCTACGAGTACAAGTCTAGAAATGTTTGCAGCAGAGAAAACAATAGGGGCAACATATTTAAAAGACAGATTTTACTAAAATACAATTTTGTGGCAGTTATGTAAACACAGATCAATATCAACAATATGATCTTTGACACATTAAGAAAAAATCGTATTAGACAGAAAGTGGGGTTTATGGCTAAACACATGCTTGTGCTGATTCTCTGAATAAATAAAAAGAAGAACCAGTACATGGTTGTATAAAAATGCATTTGTTTGTATGTTTTTTTTATATTTGCACTCCTTCAGTTGTTACAAAACCTAACCTGATCTAACCTTCACTGAAATAACTTTTTAAATTTTAAAACATTTTAACCAAAAGAAACATATGCGCAAGCTTACAAGAACCTTCAAGTCTCACTCATTACAGCAGCCTGCTGGTTTTAGTATGACTCATGTGTCCCTGGCATCACATATGTTCATTTAGTTCATGTTTTAAGTTAATTTTCACGATGCATTGTCATTTATTTGTTTGATTAGAAACAGCAGTGCGAGCACAGGAGACATCCCTTCAGAAGACGCCGAGGACCTCAGCACTGCTGTACAGGATGCAGAGATCTGCCTACTGAAGTCTGGAGAACTCACGTACGTTTCCGTCAAAGTGAAAACATATTTGGAAAAACCACAAGCGAAGCAGATTTGTGCTTACAATACCACGTTTGACGTTAGTCCTGAAGAGGAAGTTTCTGTGAATGTTTTGAGCTTAATTGAAAGTGAAAACTTAAAATATTAGGTGTGTTATAAGTGACTTCTCTGAATATGTTTACTTGTGTTGTGTAAGTGGAAAAGTGGAAGTGGGTTTGTTTTGTGGGAATAGAAAAACCTTAAAGTGTCAGAAGCCATCTGCTTCGTCGAGGAGCTGCTAAGCAACAAGCTAAAGCCTTCAGCTGCAGCTAAAATATATTTCAGGAGTCCAGACGATGTTTTCTGAATGGTGGGGCTATTTTTGAGTCGCAACCTTTAGGAACAATCACTTTAAATAAAACTGGGTAAAAATAATGTAATAATACTATTGACTTGCCCAAACCCTGTGTTTGTAGGTCAAGGCAGTACAAATTTCATACTTACAAAATATGAAGGTTTTTTTTTTTGCATTAGTATCACTTAGACTCGAAGCTTAAAATGAATGAACTCTTAAAATGTAAAACTGGAATGTTGTTAGCGGTCAGCCTGTATAATTAAGTTCTTATCTCTGTAGATGTTTAATAGATGGCTTCATACTCAAATGCAATTGCAATTATTTTACTGAATCAGCAGCCTAAAATAGAAGCATGCAGTTCATTTTGGGTTGAAATGTACTGTAGTAATCGTATTATATTGATTACTGTAACATGCATGAGATGTAAAATTAATCTCTATGAACAGATTGTCTGGATTGAGCTTTTAATTTGAAGAACGCACCAAGTCTCTCAGCTTAGATCATCTCCTACAATACACCTAGTCTTACCATGCTGGCAAAAGTGTTTGGCCATAGTTCCTTTAAATTTTCTTCTGCAGAGCAAACTACTACAAGAGAGGGTTGATCATGAAGTTGTTTCTTTTACACTTTTAAAGAAACGTGTTTAAAATTCAGCTTATCCAATAATAACTTTTGATTTTGAGTAGAGTAGATTTATGTTTGCATTTCCGTCTAATAAAAATCTTTCATTTGGGAAGCTGTGATTTGTTGTGTTTGTGCTGCAGGCTCTCTGTCCCATTCACGGTGGACGACATCTCGGGGTTTGGGGACAGCTCCCGGGAGCTTTTCATCAAGTCCAGCTGTTACAGCATCATCTCCATCACCATGAACCCTCCTGGCCCCACTGTCTCCTGGACCTTTACCTCTGAACCAAAGAGCATCTCCTTCAGTGTGGTCTACAGGGAGAATGCAGAGACCCCCCTGGAGCAGGCTAAGGTGAGAGCATCTGTTTCAACGTGGATGTGCAGTGCATCATGTCTGAGAAAGGTGCTGGTTCCATTTCAGATCCAGGGATCAAGGCTGACTGGCTAAACATGACGGACACGCCCAAGTTAAAGCTGATATAAGGAAACAATAAAACAGAGATAAACATGTCATTCCTCAGGATGGATTTACCTAGTAATAACACAATTCACCCCAAGAGTTTGTTGAGCTGTCTTGATAAAAACTTTCCAGTTTTAGTTTTCTTTCATAGCTCCCATGGTGTAACAGATATTGTTATCAAATAGCTTGTTAAAGTGACTAAATGAAAAACAGTGTTTTCATCAGAAAATAAGAGAAAAAATGATGATGCTGAATGGAGATGTTGCTTCAGTGCTGATGGGGCAACTGTTGGCAAACAGTGACAATATATAAACTTGTTTCTACTGACTTTGTATGGAGAATAACAAAGGTTGCTGCAGGTTTAAACCATGCAAAATGTCAGCAAAACATCTTTAAGATGCAGGAACTGAGACAAGAATAGTGTTTCTAATTCTAATTGGGAGTGGTGGCGCAGAGGTTAGAAGGTAGGACAGTGATCGGAAGGTCGCTGGTTCGACTCCCCGGACCAACAACATCAAAATGTGGGTGGAAAAGGTGAAACTGCCTCCACCCTCATTTGCCCCACTCTGGGCCCTCGAGCAAGGCCCTTAACCCCCACCATCTGCTCCCAAACAGGAAAATGAGTCACTGTGACTCAATGAGACTATCTATATAAATAAAAAAATAAATAAAAAGTGCTTCTAATCCCTTGTGTGAACATTACAGTAGTTCCTCGGTTCGTTTATCGCGGACTCGCTCTATCACGGTTTTTCGAAATAAGATTGGAATTATAT